GGTGCCCGTATATAACATAAAGGTTGTAAGAGGTTTCTGTGACTCGTCCCAGGGTGATCCTCATCCGAATGGTGGCACTTTGTACCGGGTGTTTGTCGCTCGTTGTGCGGTCCTAGTGGAGTTGAACGGCGCACGCCTGCGGCAACATCTGCTGCCAGACTGCCTTGACCTCGTTTATCTGGCTGTCTTGTTCTTCATACATTGGAAGTATCCAACCCTTTTATGTTGTGGGTACACTCGCCTGTCCTCTTGTTGAAAAAACTCTGACTCCGCCAAGAACACGAGACTTTCCGATCCGCAGACAAGAACGTAGAGACACCTGTAAGAAATATTTTCCCTGATGATGTTTTTTTTTTCGCTTTTTTATTCCGCCGCTTCTCCTTCTTCTTTGTCATCCTTTTTCCCCCTTTCTTCTTCTTCTCATAACTTTCGCTTTACTTCTTCTTCGGTTTCATTCTTTACATCTTCTACTCCTCCTCTCTCCCATCTCTTCTTTTTCTCCCTGAAAAAAATTCAGGTATGTGTAAAGAAAGAATGTGAGTGCTTTGACATCTCCATAAAGGTCTACTGGGTTCTATTCTTGTATATGTTTACATGTTCTTTTTTATTTCCCCTTCCTTTATTCAGTCTGCTGCTTCTGGATACAATGTATTTGTAAACCTGCGTGCTTCAAAATATCCAAGCACAATTACTCGTCATGTCACAAACAATCAACATCGCATGTCGTGTTCGTTTCAGCTGCGGCACATGTCGCATTTGCTTGAGTGACTAAGTACAATTTGCAGGCTGTAAAAACAGAAACCATCACAGCAAAGGTTCGGCATAACACATTTTCTGCGAGCTGTCTGCATTACAGTAGAACCTCTATTTTTTTTTAAGTATCCACAAAACATAAGTTGTTAACCCTTTTGCTCGGTATTACGGATATCGCAACCTTTCGGCCTTGATTCCATGATAGATACCGTAAATCTAGGAGAAAATAGCTTTTCTGCCTACCCCCGGGCGTGAACCCGGACCACAAGGAGTTCGTCACCCGGTCGCCGCTCAGAGATGCCACGTTCAACTAGCGTTCACGAAATGTTGGGGGGGGGGGGGGTTAAGTTATAATTATGACTAGGTTATGTGCGCCATTTAAAATGGCTCATCACTGCACGCGCCACTAAGAATCATGAAAAGGGCATCAACAGGAATCCTGCAGTGTTGATGGCACCAAATGAAACAGACCCAAGTACTGTCCCCATCGGCAAAGAAGTCGTCTCCCGGCGAGCCATACCTACTTTGTAGGATCATGGGTGAGCTAATGAGCGACCCTGTCGCCGGTAAGTATTAATACGGTTTTACTGCACTTAAATAAAGAGCTTCCATACAAGGTAGAGGTTGGCAGACGTACTCGGCCTAAAAAAAAAAGAGGGAAAAGGGGGGGGGGGGTGGAGGTGTTCAGTCCATTCTGAAAATTTCAACTTAGCGGTCTAGGGAGCTTCAGCCACCAGATGCTGGTGGCTATGAGATGAACTATATTTATTAACCCACACGGTCATGTACACGGTGTCAACACTTGCACTGTTGGCCAGTCATAACGCACTTTAACCTTGTTTTATGCCATAAACTTCATAAACACGCAACACTGTTAGTTGAAAATATGGCAACATCCGACATCTGGCTACTTCTCCCCACCCCTGGTCGTTCTGTTGCTGGACTTGTTAGCTCGGACAACTTGTGTGTGTGAGTGTGACCCTACATGACCTGCCGAGAAAGAATGGAGCCGGGGCGGGGAGTTGGGCGACAGAGAGAGAGAGAGAGAGAGAGAGAGAGAGAGAGAGAGAGAGAGAGAGAGAGAGAGAGAGAGAACTTTGGGTAGCCATATATTCTTTTGTTTTGTTTCGTTTTTTAAGCCGATATAATTTACAGTCAAAGAGAGAGAGAGAGAGAGAGAGAGAGAGAGAGAGAGAGAGAGAGAGAGAGACTGTCTTACACTGTTAACCCTGTGTGGTTTTTGTGTGAACAGAACATTAGAGCTTGAGATGAGAAAGAGAGAGTATATATATATATATATATATATATATATATATATATATATATATATATGTGTGTGTGTGTGTGTGTGTGTGTGTGTGGATGGATGGATGGATGGATGGATGGATGGATGGATGGATGGATGGATGGATGGATGGATGGATGGATGGATGGATGGATGGATGGATGGATGGATGGATGGATGGATGGATGGATGGATGGATGGATGGATGGATGGGCTGGATGGATGGATAGATAGAAAAGAAGTAGATAGATAGATAGATAGATAGATAGATAGATAGATAGATAGATAGATAGATAGATAGATAGATAGATAGATAGATAGATAGATAGATAGATAGATAGATAGATAGATAGATAGATAGATAGATAGATAGATAGATAGATAGATAGATAGATAGATAGATAGATAGATAGATAGATAGATAGATAGATAGATAGATAGATAGATAGATAGATCATTACACTCTTTATCTACATCACAAACAAAACGCCATTTTTGATAACCCTGTATAAATACTTCGTGGGTCTAGTATATACTAGACTTCTTGTTGACGTCACGGCGTCCCTAGCTAGGCGATGCAGTTATGCACCTGTTGGCATGGTGTTAATTTATGGGTGGAATAAATAAGGCGCTAATACCACCACTGGTGTAACTGTAAATGAGGAAACATGTTGGTAATTCCATATTGCTAGATTTAATTGCCCGGCTTCACCCGGCATAATGTGAAAAAAAAAAAGTCTTATCGTCCCGTCCTCTACCTCATCTAGGTCTCCACCGCTTCCCTTAGTGTAGGTCTAGTGGGGAAAAAGGGCCTAATTAAAACCCTCTATTTAATATCCTGTCTTCTACTTCATCTTTGTCTCTACCGCTGCCGTATCTTTAGCTGTTGCGCTAAAGTGAACCCGCGGCATCCCTTGTAATACTAACGCCAGTATTTAACAATCTGGGAGACAAGACAAATGTACTGTCTCAGATATACAGACAAAAGGTTTCTGGGAGGCTAACAGCGAAAAAAAAAAATTCTAAATCACCTGTGCAAGAAAAAGTAATTGGAAAAAAAATAATATTGAAAAGGGATATAACTCTATCGTAAGTTTACTTTTACTGATTGTCGCATTAACAAAGAAATGCACAATAACCTAGGCCATCAATATGATTGTTAAATTAAAAACTGTAATCATAATGACAAGTAAAAATGTAACCCGTGTATTGGTCACGGTTTGGGAGGAGTCAAAACTTGATTTATAATAAATACACGAGATACAGAAAGTGTTTGTGACTTATAGTATAGATCTGTGCAGAATATGCAGCTTTTGCATTCAAACCATGCCGTGTCAAACCCATAAAGGCTCACAATTCGTACTGGATTGCAAACCCAACATTACACCTCTGAGGACATATTACAATAGTTGTTTATTTGTTGACACTTTTCCATGAAAGTATTGTACTGTACTATGAGCAGGCTTGGGACTCATAGTCCATGGCGATGGTGAGTGTGACTAGCAAGATCTGCCCAAATTAAGAAATAACTTCCACAATTACAGCATGATGTTTTAGGACCGTTTGTACCATCATTTGTATAGAGTGTGTGGCTAGAGTAGTAGTAGCAGTTATCGTTGGTCCGAGTGATGCAAATATGTTGTGCCTGTTCACAGCACAGTTGCGACATTTGCCCCTTCGGCCAACGCATCTGACTTCTTCAGGTAAATTTTTATCTGGATAAATCTTCTTGGTTAGTTTTGTGGGACAATTGTAGCATCATATGTGTGGTGACTTCATCATACGTCTGATCCTCATGTGTTGTCCACATAGAGTACCCATCCTGGACAGCTGCCTGCTGCTTGGTTGACCCTCAAATGAAAGTAGAAGCACAGCATGGGCATTCCTCCCAACCATGGAGGCATCCATAAATGTAAAGCCGACAAATAACGTTTTGGTACTGGGCTCACCTAAGGAATCAGCAACACGTCCTGCACACCGCTGCTTAACCTCACAACCGTATATTGAGTCATCCCTTATTGGGGACGGTGCCCTTTAGGATCTCCAGGAAGCAGTCTGCAGACATGAAATTCTGATTCCCTGCACAAAGGAGCATCTCACTTCCTCAGCTCTTTGACAATGGCACCTTTCACATGGATACTGTCATCAAGTGATCTTGAATGTCCATCTAAATTGCCCACCAAGAAGACACACCTTAACAAAGGAGGCAAGTTTATTTTAAATAAATAAACAAATTAAAAATCTTGAATGAAAATTAGGGAGGTGCCAAAGAAATTTAATTCTCCAATCAGCTTCACAGTCACTGAGGGAACCAGCTTTTAGAAATATATAAATAGATGGAAGGTACCAGGGCTGGGGGCACGAAGATACTGGAACAGTTTGTGTTGGGTGGGGATCAGAAGCAACCAGAAATGCATTTCACTTGGAAAGTAGGTAAAAGTAAATTTGGCGATATTGCCAACAGATTCATATCTATAATTGTTGATATGGTAATGCGGGAATGTGAAAACCAGAGAGTGATATGTGGAAAACTTCTAGCAGTTGGAGCAAGGTGACAAATATGGCACCTGGAGACATAAGAGAAAACCAGATGTCTGAAATATGTAAGACAAACAGAAACAGTAATGCACTTTTAAATTTGCAATATGGGGTGGGGTGGTTTAAAAAAAAAATAGCAAGTATATGCTTTTAAAAATGTGTAGGATGTATAGATAAATATATGTCAGGAGATTAATATGCAGTCATGCTGCAGGTCACCAGTCACTGTACTAATTTAAAATATCCAGGGTCACCCAGTGTTCCTAAAAATAATTTTGAAATATAAAATGAGACATGTGAGTCGGGAGGGAACTCGGTTGTAAGTCGAGGAGATCCTGTATATAGTTTTTATTTTCTATGGCAGTGATGAATATTTATCTGTAATTGATGACCAAGTAACATGTGCAATGGTAGTTTAGGAAACAAGGTGTACTGATCTTACCTTGGCCGCCTGATTGTAAGACTTGATAACGGCCGTGTACCACTGAGTAGTGCCCTCAGTTCTATACACCTTCACTCGGTAGCCCAAAAGAACTGCCGGAGTGTTCAACAAGATCTTCTGTCCTTCTTGATAATCTAACCATGCTTTGACCAGGTGACCAATCTCTGGACACGACTTGATTGTTCGCACAGTGTTTTCTTCACCTTCCTGAAACCATATGCATTATACCAGTTGTATATGAGAGTGGTCAATTACCCGTATCAAAATAATTGTAAATACGGGACCTTCCAGAAGGACTGCCAGGATTTCTTCTTTTCTTCTTCGCGTTCACCGGCTGTAAACTCTGGCAGAAACTTCTGGTTGTCTGTCCACCTCTGGACTTTAGTCTTGTTTCAGAACCTGAGTGATGTGTGCACATCCGTTGTATGCAAACTGGTGGTTCCTTGCCTCTCAGGCAGATGCACTCCGACCAAGAAAGCTCTCAATTAGTCGACTTTTATGACAGGTTTTTTTGGGTAGGCAGTGGATCTATTCTTGTTTCCTCAACTACACGCCTCTGGAACCACACGGCCTATAATAATAGTAATAATAATAATAATAATAATAATAATAATAGTGGCACTCAGTCCACTTAATGTTTTATTAGGCGGGTTTTGAGTCTTACTTAAGTGCACATAATATTTATTATGTGCTGAACGACAAATAAATATATCTGAAATAATAAAAAAAGTGTTTAAAATAATGATTAAACACTGGGACCTCGGTAGGTATATTCGTATCAATTTTATGTTACACTTTGTGGCCACGCGATCCGACCTGCAGGGCGCCAGGATCTATATGCTGCTTTGTCAGCAACCCGAAGGGCGCAGACCAATGCAAGGTTAAAGCAATCATAGGGGAATTTCCAGAAATGACACACCACAAGAAATGTCAATCACTGCCTTGTCAACTGCTGTGAAAGCTGTCAAAAGCTCCAATGGTGTCAGTGATACAAATCTATATTGTTATTTTTGTAGGCAATAAGTGGAAAACAATTTTCTGACACGACTCTCTATCTTTCTTCCCTCATACTAGACGCTACAACTTTCTCTAAATCTTCTTCTCTCTCTCACCTTTTTTTGATCACTTCCCTCTCTGTGAATCTCACCTCGTCTCTCTGTATGTTTCCCGGTCACTCTCATTTCTCCTCGATCTTAACCCTACTTCGCGGACACTTATTCTTTTTGATATCTCAGTCTCTTTTCTCCCCTTTTGTATCACTTTATCTCTATGTCAACCTCTCTTCTCCTTCTCTCTCCCTATACACATATATAACTTTCTCCTCTCACTATCAGTTCTTATATCTCAATGCGCACAAACAGCATAATCCTAATGTTTCGTGCGAAGTCTTTATCGACAGAGTACTAAAGACAACACAAACTGAGGTAACTACATGTTTTCAGAAGATAACTGAGTAAGAGGGGAAAAAAACATTAATCAAATGTGAATGCTTACTCTATAATGAATAATGTCTTCATCTTCAACAATGCACAGAGTCCGTTCACTGAGAAACTCCATGGGTCGTCTGGTATGGTGACAGAGACCAACTTTGTCTACAACCGGTTTAAAACACTGAAAAGAAAAATGGAGAAGGGTAAGGGAGCACACATTCGATTCCTTGAACAATGGATCTTATGTGAAAGGCGTGCTGATAGAGAGTAATAATGTAACGAGTTCATGCTGCTATTGAAAACCCGACTGATTACATTTTATCAGCAGATTGTGTACCATAGAAGAATTACACTGTACCAGAAACATACTCCCCAGCCATTTATTTTATGTAAGTAAGTAAGTTAGTTTTACACCACCAGTATATCACACAGAGCGATAAACACCCAGTGACACAAAATGCCACCATTCGGATGAAGATCACCCATGGAGAGGTCCCTGAAATCCCATTCAACTGATAGGTTATATTAGGGCCCCCGGCAACAGCCAGGGTTGGGGCTTCAAAATAACGAAAAATTGCATCCCACACTGGGACGGTGGGTTTGCAGCATACATTGTATATAAATTCTAACTGTATTTATATATCAACCATGTTCATGTAGCAGGTCCTTTGCAGAATGACGCTTTCATCATAAACAGCTTGAAAAAAAAAAATAATTGTCTCTCTCATCGGCCTCTTGTACTTTCCTCTCCAAGTGTCGTTTACACCATGTGCCCATCTTCAAATAGGTTGATCCATGTTCCTCTATTATTTTCAATCTGTCATGGCGCTCAATATGGCCAAAATATTTCAGTTACAGAGACAGCATTCTGCTTAATAGTCAATCTTCCATGCTTTTTGATAGACAGTGGATCTATTCTTATTTTCCCCACACCGGAAATGGTATTTATTGTCCCTTAGTCTGGAAGCTCCCCATTTAGGTTCCGGGGCCCTATTATAAGGAAAACAAGAATAGACCCACTGCCTACCCAAAAGCATGTCATAATTGTCGACTAATTGGGAGCTTCCTTCGAAGTCGGAGTGCATCTGCATGAGAGGCAAGGATCCAACAGTCTGCATACAAATTAGTCAGTTCTGTCAAATGGATGCACACGCAACACTCATATTCTGGAACAGGACTGCAATCCAGAAGTGGACGAACAACCAGAACTTTCCGCCGGAGTTTACAGCTGAATGCAAAGAAGAAGAAAAAGAAGTCTGAAAGCGACAATAGTCTTGGGCTCAATTCCGCATCGAGTTGGATTTTTCTTGTTTAAAACTGACCACGACTTCCAGGTTATCTATCGTAAAATGGGTACCAGGTACCCTGGGAAGTAAAGGCGACTAGCATACCGCTGGCGTGAAAAGAGCAGCTGTCTTGTCTAAGGCTATTATTCTTCTTCTTCTTTGCGTTCAGTGGCTGTAAATTCCAGGAGAAAATTCTAGTTATTTGTTCACCTCTGGAGTTTAGTCTTGCTCCAGAACCTGAGTGTTGCGTGCACATCCGTTTAACTTAGCGTAGGCAGTTTGTTGGTTTCTTGCCTCTCAGGCAGATGCACTCTGACTTCGAAGGATTCATTTCCTGTGTTCAAGAGTGTGTCAAAGCTTTATCAGGTGGTCAGTTGGATATGTGGATTTCTCTTGGAGATACCACAGTAAAATGATTTTGTGTATTCTTGTAGGTAATTGTAAAATGGTTTATTTAGGTAATGAAATAATGAAGGCTTTTTAGCTACAGCGTTTACTTGTCGTCTGTGATTGTGAAAGAGTAGCTATACTTTTAGTTTGCTTTGATATCTTGTCTATCCATTGCAGAACCTGTAGAACTCTTCAGAACCAATGGCAAACTACTGAATGCAAAATGCTTAGTAAAACTGCAAACAACCAATAAATGCTGGGGCTGGCTTGCAAGGTCCTATACAAGTTACGGAACTATCTGGGTTTTTATTTTTTAACAATAACAGTTATATCAAAATAACAAGGACGGATGTAATAGTGAAGCACCATATCGTAAATAGATAAAAAGACATGAGAGTGAAGTAATATTTTGTAAATATATATAAACACACCATGGAAAAGTCATATATTGTACATAGACAAAAACACACGATAGTGAAGTAACATATTGTAAAGAGACAAAGACCACATGATAGTGAAGTAATATACTGTGAATAGATAAAACCACATGATAGTGAAGTAACATATTGTAAACTGATAAAAGCACAAGATTGTGAACAGATAAAACCACACGATAGGGAAGTAACATATTGTAAAGAGACAAAGACCACATGATAGTGAAGTAACATATTGTAAACTGATAACAGCACACGATTGTGAACAGATAAAACCACTCGTTAGGGAAGTCTTCTTCTTCTTCACTTCCTCTTTTACCGCTGTGGGTGTCGAGGGAGATATAAGGTTCTGTTTCTAGCTCTTCTGGCCGCCTCGACCATAGGCACATCGTGCTGTTGTAGAGTTTCTCTGATGTTATCCTTCCATATTGTTCTTGGTCTACCTCATGCTCTACGTCCTTCTTCTCTTTCCATGTATGCTTTGTATGGTATGGTGTCACAAGGCATTCTCTCTGAATGGGCAAACCATTTCACTTGCTGTCTTCGTATGTAATCCAGAATTGGTTCTGTGCCTACTTTTTCTCTTATGATCTCATTCCTGATCTTATCTCTTATGGTCACTCCTACAGCCCTTCTCAGACATCTCATTTCCGTGGTTACTAATTTCCTTTTATGGTTTGTTGTAGGTGACCATGTCTGGCACTGGTAGCACAGAGTTGGAATAAATATGCTTTGAATAAGATGTCTCTTTGTGCTGATTGGGATTGTCTTATGCTGTAAGAGGGGGGCTAGCTGTCCCAATACTTGGTTTGCTTTACTGCATCTAATGTTAATTTCTTTATCCAATTTCCCATCTTCGGTAAATGTAGTTCCCAGATATTTAAACTCAGATACCTGTTGAATGCCTTTGCACTCTATTGCTATGTTTAGATCTGTCTTCTTTTTTCCTATTGACATTACTTCTGTCTTTTCAGTGTTGATTCTCATATTATTTGTTTTACATTCTTCATTCATGAATGTTAGATGCTGTTGTAATTTCATGGCTGTATCTGCTATCAAGGCCTGGTCATCTGCAAAGAGTAATTCATTGATCTTACTAACATTTTCATTCATGGGCTTGGCATTCTTGCATATACAGTCGATGTAGGTGATAAACAGCAGTGGTGATAAAACACACCCCTGTCTTACTGTGAATGGATGAGATGTTCCCTGATTTATTTTAATTAAACTTCTACAATCCCTGTATAAACTTTTGCACACTTCGATGAGGTGTTCGCTTACTCAATATCTTGCCATTACTTTCCATAATAATTGTCTGTCGACTCTGTCAAATGCCTTCTCCTGGTCTACGAATGCCACAAATAAGTTCTTATTGTATTCAGTGTTCTTTTCTATTAACTGTTTACGTGTGAAGATTGCATCTGTGCAGCTTCTATTTCTCCTAAATCCCATCTGTTCTTCTGCCAGCTGTGGTTCTATCACTGGTCTCAGTCTTGTTTCTATTATCTTGGCATACATTTTATCAACAAAGCTTAAAAGAGAGATGCCTCGGTATTGACCTCATTCTCGTTTGCTTCCTTTGTTCTTCCACAATGGTATAACTGTTGCATGTTGCCAATCAATAGGGGCAGTTTGTTTTACCCATGCTGCATTAAATATTCTGTGAAGCCATCTGATGCTGCTTTCACCTGCTGTTTGAATTATTTCTGTTGGTAATCTATCAGCTCCTGGTGCTTTATATTTGGGAGACTGCTTAATGACTTTCTCTATTTCATCCATTAGTATGTGTGGTACCAACACTGTTGCTCTGTGCTCTTCAGTTGTTCTTACCTGATGATCTCCTAGAGGATTAAAGAGCTCACTGAAGTATTCCGTCCATCTTTCTGCTATCTCGGGTGGATCTATCAATGGACTTCCTGTCTTATCATTAATTATTTCAGTGGGGTTGTAGCTCTCATCTCTTTTCCGCATATTTTTAACTACTTTGGATAGGGAAGTAACATATTTTAAAGAGATAAAACCACATGAAAGAGAAGTAATATACTGTGAATAGATAAAACCACATGATAGTGAAGAATCATTTTGTAAACAGATAAAACAACATGACAGTGAAGTAATATAGCATAAACAGGTATTGTGCGTCATATAAAAGGACGGAAATTTACCAAAGCTGGCCACTCGCCATGCCTGTCTGAGGTATCTGTAGTCTTCGGCTCAACCCAGGACAGTGTGTGCTCTACAAGAAACACCTGGAGCACGTGGTGAACTTTGATGTACTCGCGTGACTTCCAGCCCGTGTCATCAAACTCAACAAGCACCTGAAAAGAATAAGAACAGAATAAGACGACACAACATTTGTAAAACTGGCTGGGGAAAGCGGTTAGTGGCTTTAACGGTTACAGTAGGCGGTTCTTCCATAATAGCCGACTACAAATGACGTAACGGGATAGTCCATTATTAGAGGGTGGTAAGACAGGGTTTCCCGGCTTTCCGTGTTTCTTCCAAGGCTTTGCCAAGGTTTTCGCGCGTTTCTCCCCCCTCCCCACCTGAAATTGTGAAATGTCCCGTGACCTGGGACCTGTGGATTGTCCCTGTTTGTGGTCGGCTATTCAGAAAGTACCAAGTAAGCTTGTTTGGATCTACCGAATTAGTACAAACAAGTACATGCATGGATAACGGATGGGCTGTAGACATGCAAAAGATGCAGTTATTTTGAATATTTATCCCTATTATCCCCGTGTGTGTTCAGAAGGCGGGGAGAAAGTGGTAGCATAATTGAGGGTTTGCTGAAATCAGATGCGCTAGACTGAAAGGGCGGATATCGCAGCCTAGCTGTGAATTTCAACACAGCGTGCCAGCCACCCTTTTAAGGGCGAAAACGGAGGATGAGGTGATGATGATGAAGAAAAAAGAGGAATTTCTAATTACTATTTAATTCTATGAATCGACATCATTGCATACAGGGTATGCCCATAGATGCTCCGTCTCCTGCAGCAAATGTCTGAAGTTGTAGATGCTAACTGTTCCCGTAGCACACATCGTTCTCGTTCTCTCTCTCTCATGTTACAGATCGTAGTCGGCGGGTGCTGTGGTAAAAATCCTGCCGGCCGCTTGTTCTTTCCATGACACTACCTGGTACTCCCCATGTGGGTTTTGGGACCCCACAGTGGGGAAAACAAGAATACACCCACTGCCTCCCCAACAAGCAGGCTAAAAGAGTCGGCCTGTTGAGGGGTTTCTTTCAAAGTCGAAATGCATCTGCCTGAGAGGAAAGGAACCAACAGTCTGCAAGAAATAATAAGACATATCTGTAAAACGGATGAGCACGGATAACTCAGGTTCTGGAACAACTCATGCCAGAGGTGGTTGAACAACAAGCACCTGACGCTGGATCTTACAGCCGGTGAACGCGGAGAAGAAGACCTAACATGTATAATTTGTAGGCTGGTCAACATGGGAACTAATGTTAATTTTGAAGAGAAAAAAAAATAAGTAAATAAATAATCCGAAACATATTCATAGGATAGCAAACTTATGGTAGGCGAAACAGCCCAGACGGCACAGTCGACCAACGAACTACAACTCTGTTCCGCGAACTACCGTTTCTCATTAAACAATCTACTCAAGTTGCATCCCTTATAATTTTTTTCGTTGCCAGGAACCATAGGAAAAGCAAAGCAGCTGCTTGGGGATGACTTCAAATGAGTGCAGCGGGAGGGAGAGGGGAAGAGGAGACTGTTCAATTCCGATGTGTGTACACACGGCCTGTTTCAGATCTGATTATACTTCCATCATCATCAGACCAAAAAATTATGACTGTCTCTTTCTGATGTTTGTTATAAGTTGTCCGCGAGCCCTCGCCTCTTCCACGCAGATTAAAAATTATTCTTCATTTCTGGCGCTATTCTTTTATTAGAAAACACCATTACTTCTGTTTTCCCATTATTCAAACTGAGGCCCATTTTTATACTTTCTACCACCACCGTATCTATAAATTCCTGTAGTTCTTTCTGACTTGTCGCTATCAATATTGTGTCATCAGCATAACACAGGAACATAGTTACTAGAGAAATTATACTGTCGATTCTCTGTCAGTACTGCGAAAGGTTCAACGTGAATACATGTGGCACGAGTAGATACCAAGTATTAGCATGTTAAGGTGACGAAGAGATGTAAATATATTCTGACCCCAATGAACACTTCTCCTAGTGCACCATCTGACCCCAATGAACACTTCTCCTAGTGCACCATCTGACCCCAATGAACACTTCTCCTAGTGCACCATATGACCCCAATGAACACTTCTTCTAGTGCACCATCTGACTCCAGTGAACACTTCTCCTAGTGCACCATCTGACCCCATGAACACTTCTCCTAGTGCACCATATGACCCCAACGAACACTTCTCCTATTGCACCATATGACCCCAACGAACACTTCTCCTAGTGCACCATCTGACCCCAATGAACCCTTCTCCTAGTGCACCATCTGACCCCAGTGAACACTTCTCCTAGTGCACCATCTGACCCCAATGAACACTTCTCCTAGTGCACCATATGACCACAATGAACACTTCTCCTAGTGCACCATCTGACCCCAGTGAACACTTCTCCTAGTGCACCAACACGTGTGGTTCAGCACTTATGGTTTCCACAATGAAGATGAGGGGCAGATGGTACAGGGCAGTGTTGCTCAACATTTGTACATGTGCGGCCCACCCAAAACAGGGGAAACTGTTTCACAGCCTACCTGAGAGTTCAGCAAACACAAACAAAAACGAATGTTCAGTTCACTCGTTCAATCCAAAGACACAAAATAATTTTTAGCTAATGCGACATCTGCTGCTGCTTAGAGTTATAAAATCTTATATATGTGGATGCAGCATTATGGATGGAGCGTTGTTTCTGATATACGTAGCGCTACCATAACATCATTTAATGTCTGGTTCTTATTATTGACATGTGTGAGAAAATCTTTTCAAACAAAATGGAGGTCATTGAGGTGTTAATCCTACAGATTGAAAGATAACAACCACGTATCCTACTTCGTTACATGATAAGCATTATTGTTGTGGCGGCCTACGGGTACTTTTCCGTGGCTCACCAGTGGGTCGCGATCCAGGAGTTGAAGAACACTGAAATAGGAGCCCCTCATCACAGCCTACCTTCAACTCCAAACTTTCACCTGATAATAATAACGGTACGCAGTCAAACAGGTGCAGTGTGTTATGACTTGATTATCAGTGCCGCTACCTGACCTACATAAGTTGAATACGTTTGATTTTAAAATACGTTCTACTTTTGGCACACTGTGTGTGTAAGCCTCGGGTATTAGTACTCGTGTATACATAGGCAATCTTCGTTGTGTGTGTGTGTGTGTGTGCGTGTCTGTGTGTGTGTTTTTTGATGCAAGCTATGTTGTCAAAATGTCGTTTTCTTGAACAGCGACATTATTTGCAAGCTGTGAATATGTTGTTTCACATACGAATGATAACATCCTGAAAAGATAAAAAAAAAAAAGTAATGACGATGTCTTAAACAAAACAAAATAAAACTGACTCACAAAGACAAGTGATTACTCACAACTTTCGGGCAGTTATGCCAGAAAGATGATTATATATATATATATATATATATATATATATATATATATATATATATATATATATGTGTGTGTGTGTGTGTGCGCGTGTGCGCGCGCGCTGCTCTTTTAATCCGGCAGCTTCTGCAGCATGTTTTATTCGAAACGTAATAATGTTACCTTATCTTCGGAGTAAACAACAGGGGATCTTGAGAATAGGTTAACACCCCCCCCCCCCCCCCTTTCACGTCCCTTTCTCCCCCTTAAACTGACTATTAAACTCAAAATTGCGGAATTTTACTTTTTAACACTATATGAATGTGTAGTCATTTTTGCACATAATAATCCATGTCTTGTTGCAAAATTCCAAATGCAAGTAATCTTAATTATTATTTTTTTTTTAATAGCCACGGTAACTTATTTATTTACTTAATTATAAAGGCACCATATTCAAACTGTCATAACTCAGTTATTTTTCAGCCTATTTTAATAATTATTTCGTCTATTTGTTAGAAATTTTATATTTGGGATAGCCCAATCCATGTAATCCATGTTGGAAGATGTAGGCTAGAAACAGCTGTGAGTGGTGCTGCTACTGTATGAAATAAAGGGGAACTAGTCAGGGCTAAGCTGAGGCACAGTGCTTCCACATTTCGTAGATCTGATCACGCGCGTGAAAGAGCAGCTGAAGAAGGGAATAAAATAGTTACCAAGATAAAAAGAGCAAGGTTAAGTATGCTGACCACATCACCCATCTTGTGCCGATTGGTCTATAAAAATATAGGTCTAGCCCTATATGCCCTAAAGGCGTGGAAAAGGGTCCTTTACTTTTTACTTTACTAACTCATTAGTTAAAGGAATTTTGTGAAAACCAGTCTGGTCAGTTACTTTTTCGCCACTTTGTCATAATCCCTTTTAAAAATATTTTTAAAATATCTCAAAAATTTATTAACATACCGTCTTCAAACTTGACACACACATAGGAAAATAACATTGAAACAGATTAGACTAGAATAAATACAGCAGCTTCAATATTTTATTAGTTTTTGGCATATATGATAACCCTTACCCCTAATAGTTTTGAAAAAAATTATTGTACCATATAAATGAGCATAACGTTGAAACCGTAACTTTAAGTCAATAGTCTTTAGTTCATAACGTTTGAAAAATTATGTTAAATTTATGTGAAATCTTCTTAAGCCATCTTTATTAGTTTTGGAAATATCTTGGTAAATGTTGAGTAAAAATTTGGCTATTTTCCTCATAAAATATGTCATTTTCAATCAATATCCGGGACAATATGTTGGTTGTAGCCCCACAATTAATGTTCCTTCATTCTTTACCTAGTGTGGAAAGTCCTGGTTGTTCGTCAGTCTGTTTTCCTGCCTTATGTATGTGCAGCTGGTTGTTCCTTGCCGCTGGAGCAGATGCACTCCGACTTCGAAGGAAGCCCACATTTTGTGGACCCCTACGACATGCTTATTGGGAAGGCATTGGGTCTATTCTTGTTTTCCCTAAAATGAGGCCCCGGAACCCAGACAGGAAGGAGAGGTCCTGAAATCGCCTGCTAAAACTGTGTGAAGACTGTTATTAACGCGGGCAGGTCATTCTAGACACGTTCGACATCGCCATGGCGCGCCACCCTAGGCCCAAGAGGAAAGACTAACTAACTACAGTGGAATCTCACTTAATGAGCATATTTCGTTCCAGAATCATAATCTTAAAGCGAAATACTCGT